GGGTAATGAAACGTTTGCAAGAAAAGAACCAAGCTCAGAGAACCCCAAGGACTCCACAATTGTGAGAGCTGAGCTACACATATTCACCTCTATTGGTACCCTAAGCATTGTTGCCAGCATCTTTACTTCTCATATTTTCAGTAGAGCAGGAACCTCACCTAGATCACATAAAATTTAAAATAATAGAGGTACTCCCCTGGACGCTTTAAGAAAATAGAAGATAACTTCCTACTGCCAGAGGCATGAAAACACCACCTCCAAATATTTTGAAACATCTCACCTGTTCAACTGGATGCCCATCTGGGTGCCGGGCATGACACTTACAGTAAATCTCCCAGCAAAGATTGTAATTTTAGTCTTTTGATAATTTATTCCCAGTTTCTCCTAGCAGAACTGTATTAGGGTCTTCAGAGCTATTTTGAGTCCTAGAGGGAACCTAGATAATACAGCTGCGTTATGGTAGGAGAAATTAATTCCCCTCTGTTGATTTGTTTATTTGCATATACCACCCATTCTTGAAGGCTCTGGATGGGTATCAGAATGATAGTCTATATTATATAGGTATCAAAGTAGATAGGTAGTAATTAAAAAATAGAGCTAACTTTGCTTAACTCCATTTCAACTGATACAGCTGATGTTGAAAGCTGCTGGAAATCACATTTAATTTTCAGTCACCTGTCTTCATGAGTTCACGCTAAGAGTTACAGGCATTCTTCTATTGAGACTTCCAGCTTTCCCACAACTTTCTGAGATCAGTATAATCAAATACCAATTTAAAATAATAAAGGCTGCATACAGAGAGAGGGTGGAACAATCCACTATCTACCAACAATTGACTGTATCTCTGTCAAGTATTAGAGCATTAGTTGTTGGTCTGTAGTAGAATAATCCTCTTGGAAACCAGCTTGTTCCTCCACCAGGAGGCTCTCCTGTTCCAATCAATCTCATACACACACACATGCCATCGCATTTGCAGTTAATTAAGCAAACTGATAAGTCTGTAATTTGCTGATCATCCCTCCTTTTGTAAAGATGGGAATTATCATTGCAAGCCCCCAGTCGCTAGGCATATAGGCATATTTATCTATAAATATAAACAGTGAAGCCAAAATCAGTGCCCACCAAGCTGAATTACTTTTAATTAACTCAGGAATTGAATCATTGTGGAGCCTTCCCTGGTCTTAAATGTGCAGTTAAGTCCTTCTGTAGCCAAGACCAGCAGCCAAACTGGTAGGTCCTCTATAAATGTGGTTTTGGGTCCAAAAATTCATCTTTCTACAATTCTTTAAAATGCTTCAGGTGGAATAGCACCATTTACATGGAATGTATTTATTTATATTTCAAATTTGTCACTGCCCATCTCACTGCAGAGCAACTCTGGGTGGTTCAGGTAAAATAGTGCCATTTTTAGGGTGACTTATGTGGTATGCTAGAAAGAAATTTACTTTCTGTTTCTGTTTGTACCAAACAATTCCCAAAATCCTTCATAGCAGCACATTTCTTATATTTAAAAAGTTGTTTATAGAGCTGCATCTCCTGTGAAAGATCCTGCAGTAGTGTTATGTTCTCATTAGCTTTGTGGACCTTGTTATTTCCAATAAGCACTTTTTTGTTTGCTGTTTATGCTCAGCTGTGTTCCTCTGGGGTAGTCATTTTTGTAATTCTTGCACAAAGTTGTTATAGGGGTCAAACATTCAGATTGGGTCTTGTTAGCTATGAAGAAAGAAGGCACATTCTGGAATCACTCTGAAGAAAGTTGGTTGTTATTGCTGAGTTCAACTGAAGCAGTTAATGCATCATGATCTTCCTTGAGGGAAAATGTGTGAGAGATAAAGACCTTCTACATGAGGCTGCCACACAAAAGATGTCAAATTTAATTAGGCTGGAAGGAGGTCATTTCTCAGACTACACAACCTCCAAACAATTTACAGATTCCAGCAGTGGAGAATCTATGTAGCTCAGGGTTGAACTGTTGAGTTCTTGGTGTTCTTCGAGCTTGGTTGATTTTCTGCAGACAATTCATTACCAGGCTAGATAACATTATCAGAGCATGGGAGAGTAATGACATTACCCAGCCTACTAATGAAACAACTGAAGAAAACCAATCAAGCTCAGAGAACACCAAGAACCCAACAATTTACAAAATGGAGCAAATTACCTGCCATAATAAAGGAATTAATAGCATTCCTTTTAGTCCTTACCCAGTCAATAAATTCTGCTGGGTGATCATTTTCAGTGGTGTCCTTTGGAATGTCCACAGTGAGATGGGCAGTGACAAATTTGAAATATAAATAAATAAAAATGTATAGGTTTTGTTTATTTATTTGTATTATTCTTGATATTTCTGTGCCACTCCCCTCCAAATGGCTCTGAGCAACGCACAGCAAAAATAAGGATGAAAACAATGGGCAAACAGAAAACCATCATGGCACAATCCAACGGGCAGATCGCAAACTTAACATCTCTCTAATGCTTTCTGCCAGAGCCATGTTGTCACTTCTCTGTGGAAGCTCTGTAAGGAAGGGGTGGTCCATATATGTAGCGAGTTATTCCACAAGAGGAATGCCACCATTGGAAAAAAACACTGCAGATGGAACTCCTTGGGGACAGGACCGTCAGCGGGGCTTCTCTTCCAGATCTCACAGGATGGGGAAATTCATTTTGGAGCAGATGACCTTGAGCGTAAGCAGATCCTAAGTCATTTGGACTTTACAAGTAAGAACCAGTGTCTTAAATTGCACTTGGAAACTGACTAGCAGCTAGTACAGTTCCTGGAGTAGAGGTGTTACATTAGTAAATCTAGAAACATTCATCACTACGTAGGCCACTGCAAGCTTCCAGATTGTCTTTAAGGGCAACTGCATGTAGAACTAATTGCTATGGTCCAATTAAAGCAGTGTTTCTCAACCATGGCAACTTTAAGCTGTGTGGACTTCAACTCCCAGAATTCCCCAG